ACATTCACACATCACAGAGGACAAAACATACTGCGAAATATCCATGCCCAGAGCGGGATTCGAACCCGCAGCCACTGGCTTCGCAGTCAGGCACGCTAACCGCTCAGCCACTTGGCCGTTAGTTAAATTAAAAAGAAAAGAAAAAAAGACTGTACTATCTCTTGTCAGTAAACATAGCACATGGAAAAGAAAAACCAATCAGACCTCAGAATCAAAGAACAAAGATTGTTCATGAGCATTCCAATATTTGATTTCTTAGAAACTATGATGGAAATTTCTGATGGTTTAATACGAACAAACCTTAAAAACAAGTTGCTATTCTTATGCTGGACCATCGTAATTCAGCCCGAATTCCTACACTGGGGTGATGGTTATTTAGTTCGGCTACCATCAAAAATGTAATGGTTCATGATGGAGTTAGTGACGGTTACCATCAAGATCACGCTGGAAAACCATCAAAAATTTCGACTAGGGTATTCTTTAAGACAAGCCAAAATAAATATATATTTTAAACGAACTCTATCCGTTCTCAAAAGATATAATTGTGGAAGGAAAAATACTGAGACATTCGTTTGCTCATAATTTTGACCTCCAAGTCACTGTTTTTGTTTAACATACGATTGTTGTCACTGATTTTGTTGTCACTGTTTTTGTTGTCTCCGAGATACCGTATGATTTTTTTAAAAATTTTTTATAACCGTCGTTTAACAGCTGATCTAATTTTTTGGGTTTCTGCTAATGTTAAATACATTCGTTATAATATTAAATGTACTACTAATTATAAATGTTAAATACATTCGTTATAATATTAATTGTGACTACTAATTATAAATGTTAAACACATTCGTTATAATATTAAATGTGACAATTAATTATAAATGTTAAATACATTCGTTATAATATTAAATGTGACTACTGATTATAAATGTTAAATACATTCGTTATAATATTAATTGTGACTACTAATTACAAATGTTAAATACATTCGTTATAATATTAAATGTGACTACTGATTATAAATGTTAAATACATTCGTTATAATATTAATTGTGACTATTAATTATAAATGTTAGATACATTCGTTATAATATTGTTTGTAAATAATATCAAGCATTGCTAATATATTTCATCAGAGCTTTGATTGGTACTTGTAAAAAATTAAAAAACATTTATATTAAAAAAAATCTATTTAAATAAAATTAAATTAAATTTAAATAAAAAAAATCCGATTTTTTTCCATATTTTTTTTTTGATTTATGGACAGTGAGTTATAATAGATAATAAAAAAAAATGTCGAGGTCACGTGATGGAAAAAAAAGGAAATGGGGGAAATATTATTTATCCTCTTCTTCCTATAATATTTCAAATTTTATCGAATTGAAGGGCAAACTGCAAAAAATAGTCGCAAATTAAAATAAATTGAAGTGAGCCGAGATTTACTTTTCTGCCTCGTTTTTACGCGTGCTCTAATAGAGCAGGCAAAATTGGATTGATTAAAGTAATTGAAGCTTTTTGAAGATTTTTCATTGCTTAGCTATAGATTTTACGATTGATTTTTTGAGTTAGAAGATTCTATGATTTGCGTAATAGAGAAAATGATTGTTTCAAGAATAGGTTTATAACATGAATTACTCTTTATTTTTTTCGGTCATGCATGTTATCATCATACTTATAGACCCCGTAATTTTTCAAAGTTGTCGAATTTAATTTATTATTTATTGAAATTACCACAACCATTTGCTTCTTCATTATATTTTTATGCTCTTCTTACGGGAAAAGGCGTTGTTCTAACATGTTTTTTTTCTGCTTTACAAAAACGCATCTGTTCTCTGGAAAAATAAACATTTTCTAGAAACATGCGTTTTAAGTAGTTCAAAAAATGCTTGAATTTTTTTTCTTCAAATTAATAAAAAATACACTTTTTTATGCTGATAATAAGTGTACCAAAACAGTAAAAAACTCTCTTTTGAAACACAAGTTTTCAAACAATAACTCACATTTTCAACTTTTCCTCAGTAGTAGACGGATCATGGGTTAATATCTCTTACCGTTAGGCTATTCGGGGGAGGATTTCATGGTTTTTCATCCCATGTAACGCAATTGCGGGTCAGTTTCCTCAAAAAAAAGTTTCCCACGAAAGAAAATTTCTCTCGATACTTGATATAATATCATCCTTTGTTTTCTGGTTCGGGTTTAAAACAAAAATGGAACTGAGTTAAACATTGGTAGTTGTCAACTCAAAATTGGGTCTGCTGTTCAACGACGGTTATAAAATAATAAATTCAAGTTTATAACTGAAACATACAGTCGTGGTGAAAAAAAACGCAAGATTTGATGAAACCATGGTAACAGAAATTGGAAAAATGTGGAGAGTGGGGAAATCGTGCAATCTTGGCTTCTATTCTATTTACAAAGAATGTAGCTGTTACCACTAAAGCTAGAAAGTCATTAATGTGCACATTACCTGCAGATTAATTGATTTGCGTTAAAGTGTAGAATCAATTGTTTTTCGAAGTTAATCTAGGTGATATACAGATAAATGGCATACTTATCGTTAAATTTCAAAATATTATTTCTCTCAATCTATCAATAAGTATGTTGAGTTTGATTTCATTGATTTGATTCTTTAGATATCGAAAAAACATTATTAGTATTATAATTTTTTTTAAAATTGTTAAACCATATTAAACATTTAGATTCCTTGTATTTTAGTTTTTTTTTAAAGTGATTGATTCTATCGACTAATGCTGTTTGTTTCATTTTTCAGAAAATAAACAAATAACATTGCGAAAATTTCAGAAACGTTGCAACAAAGACCACTTAAATGAATACGTATTGTTTGCCCTATTTACTTTACAATATAACATAGTTCTACATTCACATATGTCACTATAATAACTTGCATGTTACTATTATATATTTAAATACTTTTTCAAATAAAAATAATAAAATGGAAGTATTTTTCAAGAAATCCTTCTTATAGAGATAAAAATCATCTAAGTTAAAATATTTATGTTCTTTATGAGGCGATCAGTGTTTATTTGAGCTTGCTTTTTTCAAAGTTGTCAAAACAGTATTGGAGAATAAACACACCATTTTAACTTTCACAAAAGTGAATAAATAATCTAACTCCTTCTCTACATTAAATAATCGGTTTTTCATTATTTAATTTTCTTTTTTTTTGCAATTTGACATAAAGCAGAAAAAAAACGAATATTAAACAGTATCTTTAAAAAAACGCGTACTTACTAAAACCACAATCATCGCGTATAAGTAAAATATATGAATAACTGGATTTTCATAATAGTCAATACCAGACGAAACGAGCAATAGGAAACGAGACTGATAGAAGCATGCACAGATAAACTACAAATTAATAATTCTGAGCAGAGCGACTTTTAGGGAAAAATCAGGTAGGGGAGAAGGGGGTACAGTGGGTCAATTTTGAGATATTTAAATATAATTCAAAAAATATTCTTAGAAAAGAATATCAAACTTATGCATTTTGTTTTCTAATCCATTAGCTATCCTAATTAAATTTATTACAATTTAGCAAAATGTTTTTTTACAATAAAAAGACATNTTCGTGATATAAATCAAAAATCGTCAAATAAATTCGCAATATATAAATTCGTGAAAAAAAGCGCTCTCGACAAAATACTGAAAGAGAGATCTATCGACAAAGACTAATCACTTCTGCCTAGCTTAAGGTTATTTCAGTTTCCGTTTTTAAAAGCACTATATGTTGAGCCACCTCAACTAGATTTGGCATGTGACATATTTAGCACCAATCATTGGTCGATTTTCTAGCGTTGCCATTTGGGGAGTTGTAATGAGGCTTTTTTTTGTCGCCGTGTAAGAGAAATATATATATAGATCTTTAAAAAAACGCATACTTACTAAAACCACAATCATCGCGTATAAGTAAAATATATGAATAACTAGATTTTCATAACAGTCAATACCAGACGAAACGAGCAATAGGAAACGAGACTGATAGAAGCATGCACAGATAAACTACAAATTAATAACTCCGCAAATTCAGGGAATTCTGAGTAGGGAAAAATCAGGTATTGTCTGTCTCTCAGACGTCCAGGTGTCTGATGAAGGCTGATGTATTTCAAGAAGAGGTGACTCATCACCAAATATAGGAACAAATCAGAATATCCATTGTTGGACATGTTGTTGTTGTTGTTCATTTACGTCGCACTAGAGCTGCACAACGGGCTATTGGCGACGGTCTGGGAAACATCCCTGAGGATGATCCGAAGACATGCCATCACAATTTTGATCCTCTGCAGAGGGGATGGCACCCCCGCTTCGGTAGCCCGACGACCTGCACGGGAAGTCGAGCACTTTAGGGTAGAACAGTTTAACGAGGACCAATACCGCACACCCTGGGTCCCTACGCAGACTGATCCAAGTGGTCACCCACCCGCACACTGACCGCAGCCAGTGATGCTTGACTTCGGTGATCTGCTGGGAACCGTGTCTTAACGATCAGTCCACTGCGGGACCTATTGTTGGACATAAGCAAACTGAAAAGTGCTCAAAACAATATTATTTTCAAGCTATGAAAGCCCGCTAGAACTGCAACACCGTTCTAATTCATGCAATGCTCAATAGAGGGCAGTACGTAGATTGACTATTTTAATTTTAAATTGTCGTAATCTATGTAATTAAATGTAAATGAATGCAAGAAGATGATCTAGGTCATTTGGTATCATTCTAGTTAATCTAGACATATTAGAGGACTAATGATAAATCCACTATCTTAGGTCATTTGGTATCATTCTAGTTAATCTAGTCATATTAGCGGACTAATGATAACTCCACTATTTTAGGTCATTTGGTATTATTCTAGTTAATCTAGACATATTAATGAACTAATGATAACTCCACTATTTTAGGTCATTTGGTTTCATTCTAGTTAATCCAGTCATATTAGCGAACTAATGATAAATCCACTATCTTAGGTCATTTGGTGTCATTCTAGTTAATCTAGTCATATTAATGAACTAACGATAACTCCACTATTTTCAGCGAATGTGGAAGCAGTAATCGGACATTCTGTGAAGGTTCCCTGCAACATTCCAACTCCACTATCTGCGGGTGAAGCGTCTCTCATACTGTGGTACCGCCAGGGTGAACCCAATCCAATCTACACCTTGGACGTACGAAACAAACCGGCTGTGCATTTCCCTGCGTCCAACAGAACATCCTTCAATATCGACACCCACCCACCAGTACTGGTCATCCAGTCCGTGAACCCAGAAGACGAGGGGTATTACAAGTGCAGGGTGGACTTGAAAAAGTCAAGAACTCTTATACTACACAGCAGGTTGAAAATCATAGGTATGGTATGTTTTGACAACTATTTATACTGCGTTTCACCTCAAGTTGGCACTGGACAGAAAGGCAGGTAGACCGGATTGCAGCCGTTGCCATGGAAACAGGGTGGCTCTTAAAGTTAGTTAGGGGCATAAGGTAGCAAAAAAGGTTAGAAAGTGGCTAATATTGGCGTTAAAGAAAGCCAAGTGACGATTTTTTTTACCAAGAATCTTACTAAAATTTTGAACAAAATACAGAAAAGAACAAGGTTTTTTCAGAGCATTTCTAATAATAATTGATTTTACTAATTGTAAGCTGATTTCGTATAATTTTTAAAAAACAGATTTTTCTTATGATTTTTAAAAAACATATTCTTAACTAATTTTAAACGAAAAAAAAACCAAAAACAATTAATCAATGTGAGCTGGCTGACCAGTGCAAAAACATGGCCAACTCCTCGTCCTCGGAAACTAATTCATTGTCAAACTAAAATACCTCCTTCTTTGTACACTCGCTTTACTGAGAAAGTATTAATAAGTTAAATAGATTTAAACATGATAAAACTTCTAGTACATGTTTCAAGATAAACTTTCCTTATTATCGGACATTTATTTGTATTTCTGAGCACATTTAAACTGTAATTAATACCGAAATAGCGAGGAACTACTTTTCAAAAGCGTAGTATTACATTTCCTACCTTTCCCTTTAGTGCCAACTTGAGGTAAAACAATAAAGTACGGACTCAGTTGGGTTTATTTCTATTTTAATAATTAATTCTCTCGAATCACGAGAATCACTGAAAAAATATCACGGTTCGAGTGATCTTCAAACGATTTTCTCGAACTTCACTCACCACCGAAATTCGAATCGCGAAAAAAGGTTTGGACAAAAAAAAGCTTGATAAAAAGCACTAAAAAAAGCACCTTATTAACTTATCGCACAAATTTAATGTCTGATTTCTTTCCGGCTTTTGAACCCGAATTTAATTTAATTATATTATTAATTATTTCGAAAGTAATTTAATATTTTTTAAAAAAATAATTAGTGTGTAAAGTTTAATTTGAAGTTGACAGAAAAGAACATTGAATGTTTTTTTTTTAATTTTAAATCAATAACGAAATTTATTTTTTCAGGGTATATTTTTTGATAAGTAAATGTAAGTAAAAATAATTAATATAATATATGAAAAAAAAGACGAATATATTTCGATTTAATAAAGTTTTTAAAAAAATTACTAATTTAAAAAGTATTATTTGTATATTATTATAATATCACAATACAATAAGTGCATTTATTGAAATTTATCACAATTTTAGAATCGCCAATGAGTTCTAATAATTTTGTTTAATTAGTATCAAGAGGGGTAAGTTCCTTTCTGTAAATTTCAAATTAATTCTTTAATTATTCTTTTTTTTAAAAATATATTATTCCATTCGAATAAATATTTTATTACATTAAATTCTAGTTCAACCTCATAAATTGTTAAATTCATACAATTATTAACACGGTGCTGTTTCTTCGTTTGCGTTTTTTTCTTTCAGGGTATATCTTCTGAATGGTTTTTTCCCGTCCATCGAAAATCCCACCCCACGTCTTTCGAAGATGAAGCGCTCTATTTTTTGAGATTTAAGTCTGGCCAAAACTAATTATTTTTTTTATCTTCTTTGAAAGACGCATATTTTCATTTTTTTTATTTAATTATTCATTTTTTTAAACTCCCTTTTAAAATCGCAATTTTTTTTTTAATTAGTAAAACCATTTTTTTTGGCTTAAGTTTTGTCTGTCTAACGTAGCGAGTAACTATTTGAGTTCATCGATTGAAACATCTATAAAATAATGCAAACAATAGTTTTTTCTTCAATAAAAAAATAAATTCATAATCAAAACTCCTTCGGCTCTAATTTTCAGCAATAAATGGTTCTTTTTTTAACTTGGAAACAATCTCTTAAAACAAAATTAAATTAAAATTCAACTTCTCTAACAAACTCCTTTGATTTTAAATCAAATTAGGGAAAACACGCTTTTATGTCTTAACTTACTTAGTAACGCATACACCACTTCTGATTTCATTACTGCTTTTATTTTTATGAGTTTTCCCATGCAGTTAATCAACATCTCGTTTCATTTTGCGAAGGAAAAAAAAGAATGTATTGGAAGTGATTTTGAGCCATTAATTAAAGAAATTATTTTTCATAAAAGCAATTTAATAGTGCCGCAATAACGTTAAAAAGATGAAATTTGAAGCTATCTTCTTTAAAAAAGGTGCCAGAAATTTATGAGTTCTTTTTAATGAACATTATTTTTGAGAAAGTTAATTATTCTGCTTTTGAATAAATTGCGAAGATAGAATGAATACTTTTTTTTTCTTTCTCTTTTCAATTCTTGATCAACGAGCCATTTAACGAGTTTAATAAATTGAGAAGTTAATAGTTGTAAATAGAAAATTTCGAGTAATTATATATTCTTATTAGAATCACATTTCAAAGCAAGAGTGGTACAATGCTTGATACATTGCGTTCGCTAAACGAACAAGATTTAAGGATAATTTGTTGAAATATTTTTGATATTTTGTTTTAAAAGTTTAGAGGCACTTGTTTATAAATTTATGAACCTGTTAAGATAGTAGATAACGTTTAACTTTTCGTTACACACAGCTGTGACGAATAGAGAGATTCTGCACGTCATTTGTCTTACGCCAGAATTGCGGCGACCCGGCGAAATTGTTGCAGAATTATAAGAGTTTTTTCAGGGGAAAGAAAAAAAAGTTAGTTTTCCTTTCTGCATAATTTTCTGAAAAATGAAATAATTTTTTTTTAAAAAAAAGTACGTAATGACTGGTTTCATCTAGAATTTCAAATTAATAATATAAATTAAAAAATTCAGAAATAACGAAAGTTAAAAAATAGTTTGCTCTAGAAATGATGTTCTTTCATTTTTTCTTCTTTAAAGAACACCATGTTTTAGACACAATTATTTAATATCTTTTTTAAAGAGTCCTATTCGTCTGATTTTGTTGTCGATCTTTATTTTAGAGTTACTGCACTGATTTTACGATTTTTAATTTACGTATAAATATTATAATTTATCATCGTTTATATTATTTACGAATTTAAATTTTTGTAATAATTTACGAAATTTAAAAAAGAAAATAATTAGTGTATTTTAAGGCCAACAAAATGCTAGAAAGCATCTATAATATTAGACTTAAAAAAATAAAAAATTCACTATTGAAATTTATTCTATACTTTCTTCTGTAAACACAACGTTTCTGTTGCTTTAAATTAGTAATTGTTGGAATTAAAAGTATCTTAAAGAGAAATATATATTAAAGCTGGAGAGGTTTGTTGCAGAAAGCTTGAAAAAAATCTGCCACGAGGGTCTTATGTTAACCTCAATACTCCTTGTGATTTGAGCTTGCATTGTGAAACTTAATAGGGAAACGTAACACCATTAATAAAGTAACCATACGCAAGAAAGTAACACCATTTAAGTAACCATACACAACTTCGCTATCTCAACGGATGATTCTAATTATAGTTAAACTATTTAGACCTACATAGTATCCGTTTTGATAAATGAGTGTCTATAAAATATGGTATATATGAGGTATAGATTACGAGGAAAAGAAATTTATAATAACGTTTATACTTCAATTCGTATTTTTTATTGTTTTCCTAACTGTAGTTGAACAGCCGACCCAATTTTATGACTACTAATGTTCAAAGCAGTAGCCTTGTTGTTGTAACCCAATTCCAGAAGACGTGGGAACTCTTGAATTGGGAGAAATTTGCCTTCGTGAAAGACTTTTTGATGGAACTAACCCGTGCGAGAGTTACATGGAGAGAAAAACCACGAAAATCTCCCACGATTAGCCTGACGGCAAGGGGAATCTACGATCCATCTACCACTGGAAATATTTTACGTCAGAACTGTGGTCGGTGCAAGCCGGATGCGGAATTTGTATCAACCAGTAATAACTGGGATTCGAACAGAGGGTCACCTCATTGCAAGGCGAATGCTCTATCCCCTGAGCCATCACGCCTCTCGATTCATATGTGATGTTGGGTTTAATGTAAGGGAAAGGTTAAAAACAAAGTTTAAAGCTATTTTAAAACCCTATCACTATTGCTATAAAATCATTCTGCGCCATAAACAAAAAAATATTGGTATATGCGTTATGGACCTTGGAAAAAAAACGAAGGAAATTCGCAATAAAGTTAATATTTTGACCAATAGATGACGCTTTTCATGTACAGCAAATATTATACATTATTAAATTTTTTTTACTGAGTTTAATAAAAAAAGGGTTTTAAAATAAGTTTGATTATTTACCTCGAAATCATATAGACATTCCATAGACTTTTTTACATGATTTGATTTTAAAACAAGTACGACCTACTCTAAATCAAATCGACTTTCTCTAAATTCCAAAAATGCAAACGAAACAAGGAAAAGAAAAATATTCTCTATCTTTAAAAAGAAAAAAGATTCGAAAAGATTTTAACGACAAACGAAAAAAAAATAATAATTATGAAGATACCTTCCGTAACTCAAGATTTCTTCTGTTTCACTTAATTCCCTTTCACCATAAAACATAATTTTACTTACGCACATTAAACTACGTCTTTAAGCCTTACGCTATCACTGTCGCCATTTTCTTCGTCTTCCTTTTTTTTTTCTCTTTTCAATTTGTGAGCTTAAAAGGTTTTTAAGCTTCAATAATCTATATATTTCGGCTGTCGTTTTATTCGCCAAACGTCATATTTTAAGAATTTTTTTTCCCTCCATCGAAATAAATAGAAATAAATGACTTCAAACAATGTTCTTTTTTTTTACATTTTATCAATTAACGTTAAGACCTGTCGAGAACATTAAACTTCCCGATTAGTCATTTTCTCTCTCATCCTTGTCCTTTATTTTCACTAAAAAGTCATTCGAACTTTTTTATTTTTTATTATTAATTTTATTTTCTTGGAAAGAAGTTTAAAGATAATTTATTCTTTTTCTTAAACGCGTTGATAAGGTTTATCTTATTTTATTATTTTTTTTTCAAGTTACACATTAATTTGGATTTCTTTTTTTTTTCAAAATAAGGAAATAATTTATGAAACTTTCTTATTTTCTTATTTATTAATAAACGATTCATTTAAAAAATGTGAAGTGTTTCTGATTTCAAAAGGGAAAAAAAGTGCAAAAAGCTGAATATTAATTATTTTAAAAAGTTATAAAATAAATTCTATATGGCTGGAGGGATTAAATTGTTTTTTTTTGTGTTTTTTTTTACGAACGTGATTAATTCTGACGAAGTAGATATATCAACCAAAATCGGCAAATCTTCTCGAGGCCAAAGTGTGAAAGTGGTAAAAAAAATAAACCATAACTAAATCACCGTTTCGGTGCTTTTTTTAATGAAAAAAGAAACTAACGGAGGGTTTCAGGTTACAAGTGCTGTTTTCTTTCGTGGAAAGATCACATAAGTTCCGAAAGTTATTTTATTTTAATTTAAACCAGGAATATTTCGATCCAATCAATAATTCATAAGTTATATAATATTTTATGTTTATACGAAATGTTTTATGCTATGGCAATGAAAACAGTAATCAAATTAAACAAAACTATTTTTTTTTCTTCAATGATAATATGTTGAATTAATTATGAAGAAGATATTTATTCATAAAAATGTCCATACGTATTTCTAATCAAAATTTTTCAATGTAAAATAAAATAGCCAAGATCAAGAATAAGAAGTAGCGTTTCTAACACAATTCTTTATTCTCGAACTATTAACTATTATGAACGTTTTTAACAAGTTACTTTTTTGAAAACCATAATTCAGTTTATTTGATCTCCTTTAAAAAAATCAATATAGTTAGATAGACTGCATAATGAATTAGAAAGCACATAAAAAGGGTATCTACGTTTGGTACGTTCCAATCGAAATCGAACCAACGTTGGCGTCGTCTCATAGTTTTTCATAAAAATATTTTGTAGAAAAAGTCTTGATAAGGAATAATTAGAATATTTTTTTAAGGAAATTTTAGACCAAAACTAAGATAATGGGGTCATTTTGAAATGTGACTTAGTTTAAGAAAATTGCGTAATAATCAGATTTTACACATCTTCCTAAATTCAAGTTTCTAAGATGTTTTTAAGGCAGCAAAACAAAATGTAACGTTAAACTGAACATCGGATGGGCAGTGGCTCTTGCTAATTTTTTTTAACTACGATTACTACTTTACTATGCATTCCTGATTGATATTACTGGACGCCAGCAATCTTTTTGTTTTTTTGTTTTTACTGCTTTAGAAAGGTATTGTTTGGAGCGTTCTTTTTTTTCGTTTGGATTATTTAAAACGTTTATTTCATTTATATTATGTCTATCTTCATCCGCGCAAGAAAAATATTTTTTAGTGAGAATGGAATCAGTAGCAAGCCTAGCAAAGGGTTATAAATCAATGAAATGAACTTTGTAAATTAATAAAATCTATAAGCGATTTAAAATTGGGCGCTGCCTTGTGTACAGGTTTTCTTTAAAAAAAAAGACTTTTATCGGGAATAGTTCTAGTGAAATTTAAAACCAAATATCTTATATATATGAAAAGTATTTGTTGAATTGATATAATAAAATAACATTTCAATTCTATATAGCACTATTATTCTTGAAAGTAGATTAAAAAACCAATGTTACTTTTACAACACGTCAGAGAGTGGTTCAAATTACCTACTTCAAAACATGGAAGACTTTTTTTATATACTCGAAAAGTCTCCAAAGATGAGACTTTTCGAAATTGGGTGAAATAGTAAAAGGGAACGAAAGAAAAACAGAAAAACAATGAAGTAACTAATAATGAAAAAGAAATTTCTCCGTCAACAATCAAATCATTACTCATCAACTATCGAGAACACGTTTCTATGAAAGAAAAGAAATGCTTTCAGTTAGATATAACAAATAAGTCATCTCTCGTATTGAAAAAAAATAGCTTCTTACTAAGATGTGTTCTTTACTTGCAAGACAAAAACGGTTACAAAAGATCTTATTCGTACTAAATCTTTTACTGTGAATGACGGAAATAGGTGGTTGTTGACTTCCACCGGAGAATGTTGACAATCACATAGTCGCTTTGGTAAATGTCCGAATTATATACTAGGTCTAGTTAAGTGCCACTGCCCGGTATGCCTTACATCAATGTTTTTTAAGGTCAAGTGCCACTGCCCCGGGGCCGGGATAGCCTGGTTGGTAGGGCACTGGGTCCGTGTCAAAGAAATCGGGGGTTCGGTTCCCGCCGGCCGATGACTTTCCGTGTAGTAATCGGTGATTGATGCACGTTAAATCTGTCGAGTCACAAAGTCTTCCATGTTTCCATAACAGATCAATACTTCTGGGGGTACCGATACAGGAGCATCTGGATTGGGATCAAAATGACAAGGATACGGAGCAATTGCGTCTGCTGTTCAACGATGGTTATAAAATTATAAATAATTGCCACGGCATTTAACCTGTACTCCGAACACTGATGTTTTTCCTAGTCTGTGTTCAGCAGAGATTCGAATATCGAATAAATATAATAATATCAACGAATAAAGAAATATTTCAGACATTCACCACAAAGCGACTATGTGATTGTTGACATTCACCGGTGAAAGTCGACATTCTCTTGATTTCGGTCATTCATGGTAGCATCTGCATGAAGCCGCGTTTACCAGGACGCAATCATAAACGATAACGATACTTATCGATGACGTTAATATCGCGACGACGCATCTCAATGATAAGAATTTAATGAAAATGAATCTTGAGTCGCTTTCCTGTAAGTATGTTTTTAGTTTGTTCGATGTGTGACCTGATCTGTATCCTGACTCAATCCACACAACTTCGTGTTAGTTCTTTGTGCGTTGATTACATGATTAAGAGAAAATTCACTCTGTTTATGGGCCACCGAAAACACTGCAATGACTTTTTGTTGTTGTTACTTTACGTCGCACTAGAGCTGCACAATGGGCTATTGGAGACGGTCTGGGAAACATCCCGGAGGATGACCCGAAGACATGCCATCACAATTTTGATCCTCTACTGAGGGGATGGCTCCCCTGCTTTGGTACCCCGACGACCTGCGAGCGAAATCGAGAACTTTACGGTAGCACAGTTTAACGAGGACCCATACCGCACACCCTCGGTCCCTACACAGACTGATTCAAGTGGTCACCCACCCGCACACTGACCGTAGCCAGTGATGCTTGACTTCTTTGATCTGCTGGGAGCCGTGTCTTGACGATCAGTCCACTGTGGGACCTGCAATGACTTTTGTGTTTTTAAAATGTCTTTCTCCGAGGAAAATAAATATGCCACAGTTTAAAAGAATCTATCACAAATGCTTTCATTTCAGTGAAAATGAATGTAATATTGACGTTGTGCACAATTTTACAGACAGACAGACAGTTCAAAGTTTGCATGGAGGGATAAAGGTATTGTATTATATTATACATATATTATATCCGTCGTTGAACCGCCGACCCAGCTTTTGGTCTATGACTATTAATGTTCAACTCAGTAGCCTTGTCATTTTGAACCAATCCAGAAGAGAAGGAAACTTCTGAATCAGTACCCCCAGAAGTACGATTTGTTATGTGAAAATGGAGGACTTTGCGACTCGACTGATTTAACGTGCATCAGTCACCAATTACTGCACGGGAAGTCATCGGCCGACAAGGATCGAACCCACGAAATCTTGAACATGGGGTCAGTGCCCTACCAACCAGGCTATTCCGGTTTAAAAGAAAAGTCATATGTAACCGTTGTAAACTCGCATAAATTTTAAAAATAAAGTTTGTCTACGGTAAGAACTCCCCCGCCACAAAGTCTGAGGCCGTCTGCTGCTATGGAAACAAGAATAGCACATTTCAGGGAGGGTAGCTTTGTATCACTCTATGGCTAACACAAAGGACCAACGAAAAAGATGCCCTTTCTCTCTACGACCCAAGCCAAAACATGTCCTAAACAATAACCCCACACCCCTATTCGAAATAGTTATGCCTCGTTACCATAGTCACCGCCACTGGTCCAGACGAATGGCTAGTGGAGTTCTTACTTTAGACAAACTATAGCATATGACAACCTTAAATGCACGCATTAATCCAGTAGTATGAATGTCGTGTAAAGTTCTTTAAATATCTTTTGCAGTTCCCCCTGGAGAACCCATGCTGATGGATGAGTACGGACAGAGACTGTACGGAATTGTGGGTCCTTACGACGAAGGAGCGTGGGTCACTCTCGTCTGTGAAGTGGATGGAGGTGAGCATTTAGAAAGCGATTGACCCTGTAGAATGATTTATCAAACCTGTAGTGTAACTACCTCACCACTCAAAAGTACGGTGATCTTAACGCAGCTCTTCCGGCTTCTCACAAAACAGCAATGAATCAACTAGTGGTATCCCGCTCATCGAATTCTATAACAGATAAAATTCTGGAGAGAGAGTACTGTAGTGTACAAAAATACAATTCCAATTCACTAGTATATAGGACATGCTAACTCTATTCTATGATGGGGTACTTTTTCATAGATGAAAGTTGACATGTTCGAAATGACTCTCCCTACAGACCCAAGATAAATAAACTATCTTTATTCTTTGTACATAGAATAGGCGCATCAATTCCCCACTCTCATTTCGTCCAAACTTCACAAATCAATATTCAAGTGATGCCGACTGGACTGAGTAGTGGTTAGGGAGCTGACCTCACATCAGAAAGGAGCTGGGTTCGAATCCCAGACAAGGCATGGATGTTTTTCCATTCTTTGTACTTTCTGTCTTTACTGTAAGAGTAAAGTTGGCCCACCTAATAGGGCGCCTTTGAAAGGGTGCCCAACACATCTGCCCTGCTGATAAATTAATGACGAGTATCAAGCGGATGAGCATTCGTAAAAGGAGAGAAAAAAAAGAAAAATATCTTCGAAATTTTTCAACGATGAAAATAGAATAAAAACATCAAAACAAGTTTGATTGCCTGATCTAGCTTAGAGATGCTTTTTAGTCCTGATCTCATTGAGTAGTGATTCGATGGACTTAATAGTATTATTATTTTTCTTCACTCAAATATCTATGACTAAGGAAAAGAATAGGGGTACCCCTTGGATTGGGCTCTGTATCTTGGAGCTTTCACTGTATGCAAAATCTTTCAGTTATTCTATTATCTCTATCTCTATTATTTTCATTAGAAAATCTCACTTTTAATTCATTTTACCTGTTTTTTTAATAATATAAACAGTCGCCAAAGAAACAGGATTGTAAACTTATACCATATTGTTTTTCTTTTTAATGTGTATCTGCAGATGAGGATTCTAAACATATATATTATGAGTGACTAATGAATACTCTGCNCTGAGAATCCCAGAGCATTCAAAAAAATTCCATAACTAAGAGCAAACTGACAGTAATGTGGGGATCGAATCAGAGGGCATGGGTCACACAGTATCTTTTCAAGGAATGGCTAGTTTGTGCCCCTAGCATCAGGGACTACCTTGATACCAATGACTTGCCGTTGAAAGCACTGCTGCTATTGGACAATGCACCAGGACATCCAAAGGATCTTGAAGATAATTTGTTGACAGACTTTCCCTGGCTGACAGTTCAGTTTTTACCTCCGAATACGACTTCGCTGATTCAGCCGATGGATCAGGAAGTTATTGCGGCTTTCAAGAAATTGTACACTCCCGCGCTGTTTCTTTGGTGTTTTGAAGCAAGCGAATTCTCCTCAACAATGACTTCAGAAAAGTTTAGGAAAGAAAAATTTGACATTCTTGAAGCTATTCGTATCATTCAAAAGCCGTGGTCAGAAGTCACACAGCGACAGTTACTTTCTGCTTGGAGGAAGCTGTGTCCATCCTTCGTTCAAGGTGACGGAGGTGATCAGGGAGACACCCCTGAAATTCTGGATGAAATTTTGACAACTGCTAGAGATCTGGAATTGGAGGTGAACGAGGATGACATAGAAGAGCTCATAATGGGACATGTAGATTAACTGACGACAGAAGAACTCCAAGAAATTTTGAATGAAAAACACCAAGAAACACAGCGAAATGTGTCTCCTTCTGAACAAAAGGAAGACGAAAGAGGATACCAATGCCGACATCTGCCGTTAAAGATCTTTTGAAGAAGTGGGAGGATGTCAAAGCAATGGTCTTAGAATGGCACCCAAACTAAGCTGATGTCATTAGGGTTGGGGATTTTTACAACGACAATGCTATTAATTACTTCCGGAAAATCCTGAAAGAGAGAGAAAAGCAATCGACATTGGACATGTTCTTCAACGCCCCATAAGCAAAAAATGAAAAGGACTGATTCATATGCAAAACTATATGTATGGATTATTATTTAAAAAACTTAATAAGAAATTATACATTTTTTTAAATTTACTTTTTAGGGTCTCCAGAACGAATTAATCGATTTCACGTAGAAGTCTATGGTGAATCGATGATCGGTTAACGAACAATTCGGATAGCGAACATAGTCTTGGAACGGATTATGTTCGTTAACCGATCACCCACTGATCTACAAAAAATAATATTATAAGTGTACAGCAACGCAAGGGAGCGAACATTTCGTTCACTATATCCAGGAATAAAACATGTTCACTTTAACGGGGTTTGACTGTATTAAGAGTCCGCCATAATGTATGTCAATAATTTTCACCTAATTGTTGCACAAAGGTAATCCTCTACCATCTGTCACGTGGTGGAAAGGAGATGTTTTATTGGACGACAGTTATGAGGACACTGACCAGGGATTCGTGAGAAACGAGATGGTCGTGGACAGGATAGAACGCAAGGACTGGATGACCAACTACACTTGCAAAGCTTCCAACACAATTGCAACAACACCCAAATCAGCTTCCATAAAACTGGACATGAATCGTAAGTATGTCATTTAACAGCAACAATGAATGTCCTTTATAAGTGAATTTTTTTTTATATCTCGAGCTATGCATGCGTGTAGAAAACAGTAAGTATTCAGTTGCATAAAACCGAAATTATTTTTTCGGTTTTATGCAACTGAGCAATGGGTAAGTGATGGTATCTCGATCCTGATTGGTTGTTGAAACGTGTCTTTTGTTTACGTTAGCAACTGTGCTTTCCATTCTATTTCCAGTAAGCCAAACCGGTCTACTAACAATTCTCTTAGTTGACACTTTTTATATTCCTTCACAAAGATTTCAATTCTTTCACTATATATTTCACTATTTAAGACAGGTATAGTTTGTCGAAAATAAGAACTCCCCCAGACATTCGTCTCAACCTGTGGTGGTGACTATGGTAACGAGGCATGACTACTTCAAGTAGGGGTGCGGAGTCACTGTTTTGGGGTTGCTTCGGCTCAGGTCAGCAAAAAAAAGGGGTCTATTGTGTTAATCCAAGAGCGAAACTACCCTCCTTAAAGTACGCCATTCTTGTTTCCATAGCACCAGACGGCCTCAGACTTCGTGGCGGGAGGAGCTCTTAGCTTAGACCAGGGGTCGCCAAACTTCTTTGATCNTTTTATATCTCGAGCTATGCATGCGTGTAGAAAACAGTAAGTATTCAGTTGCATAAAACCGAAATTATTTTTTCGGTTTTATGCAACTGAGCAATGGGTAAGTGATGGTATCTCGATCCTGATTGGTTGTTGAAGAGTGTCTTTTGTTTACGTTAGCAACTGTGCTTTCCATTCTATTTCCAGTAAGCCAAACCGGTCTACTAACAATTCTCTGAGTTGACACTTTTTATATTCCTTCACAAAGATTCTTTCACTATTTAAAACAGGTATAGTTTGTCTAAAATAAGAACTTCCCCAGACATTCGTCTGGACCTGTGGTGGTGACTATGGTAACGATGCATGACTATTTCAAGTAGGGGTGCGGAGTCACTGTTTTGGGGTTGCTTCGGTTCAGGTCGGCGAAAAAAAGGGATATATTGTGTTAATCCAAAAGAGAAGCTACCCTCCTTAAAGTGCGCCACTCTTGTTTCCATAGCACCAGACGATCTCAGACTTTGTGGCGGGAGGAGCTCTTAGCTCAGACAAACTATACGACGCAATGCAGAACATAAACTAATTACGCATGGAAGTTGCCAGGTACACAAACAAAAATATATCACGGTAAGAATGAAATACATTAACAAATGATAAATCAAAGTTAAATAAAAGACGTAGATAAGAAATAATTATATTTTAACAAATTCTATGAGCGATATGGGGCTGTATTTATTTAACTTCGCGTTAGTTAACATTCTAGCTCACGTGGGGAAACTTGGTTCAACTTTACCGAGCCATTTTGTTTATAAACTATCAGCTGGCACTGACTTCATAAGCCACATGTATCCCGGCGACATTGTCGCAGAACGTTACAGAGTTATTGCAGAGAAAGTTTCCCTTTAAAAAGTAAAGAATTTTACTTTTCTTTTCTTCAAAAATTAACACTTAATATTTGAATCATGCTTTTAAATAATCACTATTTGAAGAACTCAATTTACTATGATAGTATCGTAAATCGGTTTCCATTATATTTTCAGTAGTTATCGATATTGATTTTCACGTGGTTTTTTAAATATCCAGATATATTTCAAACGATATGGAAAATTCGAATCTTGCATTCGACTGTTTACTTTTCAATGCAATAATTTTATCGAATTATGGTAGTTATTGTTATTGATTTCTCCGCTGTTTTTAAATCCGTTTTTTATACGATATTATTTATTAAAACAACCTAATCTCGAAACGAAAAACGCATTGGAGGAGTCCGATTCGCGTGATTTCGTCGTCGATTTTCTTTCGGCAATTACTACAAAGGATTTCATGACTTTTAATTATTTTTTCGCTGTCATGATTGTTTACAAAATGCGAATAATTTGCTCGTTCCCATACCCCACCCCCCAACAAAACTCGAGAATATCACCGATATCAGTAAAATAAAAAATTATTGCATGTTCAATTAAAAAAAAAAGTTTTTTTTTAAAGACAGCGCTTTTGTTATTTTTTAATTATTAACATATATATTTGTTATTATTAAAAGTATCTAGCGGAAAAATATAAGTGCTAGAGAGTTTTGTCGCAGACAGCTCGAAAAAGTTCTGCCACAAGGCACATGTGTGGGTATCATGATCTTCTTGAAGTGCAAGTACCCAATTGATTTGGGTTAAGCATTTGCCTCTCTTTGAACTTACTCACTGATTAAGGAAGCATAAATGTTGACTACTTTACCGTTAGTGCATGAATATTAATAAAAATTATATTTGACAGTGGGAAAAAAATTCATTTGCTTCAAAAATCGAGTTGAAAAACGTTGACCAGTTGCTCAAAACAAGACTTTCCTTTTTAAAACAGTCGCGAATGAAATTTTTTTATTTTTCTCATTATATAACCGTCGTTGAACAGCCGACCTAATTTTGAGTTTACAACTACCCATGTTCAAACTCCATACCCTTGTACTTTTGAACCCAACACAGAAGACAAGTGAGCTCTAGCATCCAGTATTGGGAAAAATTCGCCTTCGAGGAGGGCTTTTTGATGGAACTAATCCGCATTTGCGTTATATGGAGAGGTAAACCATGAATTTTTCTCACGGCTAGCTTGACGACAAGGGGACTCTAGCCCATGATCCATCTACCACTGAGGATATTTTTACGTCAGCACTGTGGTTTATTTTATTTTATAACCGGCGTTCAACAGCCGACCCAAAATTTTGGGATTACTACTACTGATGTTCAACTCCGTAGCCCTGTAATTGGAACCCAATCCAGAAGACAAGGGAACTCCAGGATCAAGTATCCGGAGAAATTTTGCCTCCATGGAGGATTTTTTGATGGAACTAACTCGCATAAAACAGTGAAAACCCCACACGTTTAGCCTGATGGCAAGGAGACTCTAACCCATGATCCATCTACCACTGAGGACGCACTGAGCACTGAGGTCGGTGCATACCGGATGCGGATTCGTTTTGACTAGCCATCTATGGGGATTCGAACATGGTTTACCTTATTGGAAGGGGAACTCTCAATCCCCTGAACCATAGCGGCTTTCAGCACTGTGGTTGGCGTGAACCGGGGGCGCAATTCGAATTCTAGCCGTCACTGGAATTTGAACCCGAACCTCATTGGAAGGCAAGTGCTCTATCCCCTGAGTCATCACGGCTATATTTTAATCATTAAAAATATGAAAGGACTAATTAGTTTAAATATAATTACATACATTTAATAAAAAAATTCTTACATTAAAAAAAAATCTTTACATACATTTAATAATGAATTCTTCGTAGGTTATAGAGGAAGTCTCTGACGCTGCTATACCACTAGGGACACTTTCACATTGATAAGCAACTTAAAAGCATAGAAAAAGTGGACTCATGCAAACCTGGAATAGTCCATGAAGTTTCAAATAGTGAAAAGAAATTCCAAAATGTCAATTACGACAGTATTACTTAAGGAGTATGATGTTTGGAAGTCGTGCAATAATTTGTTTGCAGATATTGATATTTCTAAAATATTTTTTCAAGCTTTGAAATGTTATGGTTTACTTTAGGTTTGCCTGAACTAACTTTTTCCGTACATTCAATTCTATAATACCAATTAAAGTGAATAAGAATTTGGAAAGAAAACTTTCTCCCGTATATCGTCCTTTTTATATACATGGCAGGCTAGTAAGTATGTTTGAGTTGAAGGCGGTACATTATGGTAAAGGTATTACCAATATAGTTATAGATGATGTTGCAGACTGATTCAGTGGCGAATGGGTGCATCGAATAAAGAAACCATATTTAATAACAAACAAATTTGATAAACAATGTGATATGGTGCGAAAGAGGGCTTTTCAAAAAGCCATCCAGCTCAATCCATTGCCTGCCACGTAAGTGATTACGGAATTATTGTGAGTGATTACAACGTCCTCTTTTAGTCAGGCAGAAATTCGTAACAAATGAACAAGTTTAACCTGAAGACGGGACATTAATGCAATATTGTTCCCAATAAAGTTTCAAATGTTGTTGCTGTTGACCTCGGCCATTAAGGCTGAGTGGGTTCGATTGTTCTTGTTTTCCAGGGGCGCCATCTATGGCCAAGAATTCAACTTTTGCCACACCCATACGTCACACCCGTTGAAAGGGCGGACTCATTCACGCATCCATTCATTCGTCCACAGATCTTAATTTTGACCTGAACCAGAGAACGATCAATATCCAATTCAGTACCCCCAGAGGTTTTGATTTGTTATAAGAACATGGAGTATTTTGCTACACGACAGATTTAACGTGAGCCAGTCACCATTTACTACAGGGAGAGTCTTCGGACGGCAGGATTCGAACTCCCGTTATCTCAAACGTGAGCCCAGCGCCCTGCCAACCAGGCTATCCCGGCCAACAAAATTGGAAAAGAACATGTTTAAACAGAATGCAATATTGTTCCGAACAAAGTTACGAATAAACACTTGCAGTACAAAAAAATTATGATAACAATGAATAACCCCTTGCCAGGGGTCGCCCGAATCCAGTTCGGGCAACTACTACGTTCATTATTTGTGATGCCCGACTTGACTTCGGGCAAGAGAAAAATTAACGTATCTATTTTGTGAAGCCCGAGCTGAGTTCGTTTCTAATTTAGGATACTTAGTTCACTATTTTCCTAATAGATGGCATTAGTGATCCTAAGTTTTCACCGATTACGACATTAGTCGAGGGAGGGAAATGTGGGTAGAGGGTTTGGGGATATACCATACAGTAAAAGATTTGTAAAATTTATGAATTGAAAATCATATTGTTGTGTTTTTATATTATATTATGCGAGTTATATTCAGAGCCGGATTATACTTTTCATAGGCCCTAGGCACAGCCGTTTTGGGCCCCTTCCCTCCTTCCCCCACTCCTCCCCTCTTTTCTTGCATATTTTTTTTA